GGGTAGTGATAACTGCAGAGAATGATAACTGGTCAAAGTGATGAGAGTAAGACACTATTGAATCCTCAGCAATAAGTAAGACATTTCCATCACCTCCTCCAGGGTACAGAAAGCATCATGGAAGAGGGGGTAGAAAGAAATTTAAGAGTCAGAGAAAAGGGTGGAGTGTTGTGGAATGCTGCCTTCTGGGTATAACATAGTGTATTAGTTACCTTTATGTTTCTCTGATAAAAACAGCATGACCAAGGCAACTTATAGAAGGAAGAGTTTACTTTGGCTTACAGTTCCAGAGGGATAAGAATCCGTCATTCCCTGAAGGCATGGCATCAAGCAACAGGCATGGTGGGAAGAGCAGGAAGCTGAGAGCTTATTTTTAATAACTAACATGAAGCAGAGAGAGAGCTAGAAGTATGGCAAGTCAATAAATTCCCAAAGACTGTCCCCCGAAATGATGCATTTCCTCCAGCAAGGCTACATCTCTAAATGTTCTGTGACCTTTCCCGAAACAGTGCCACCAGCTGGGGACCAGGTGTTCAAACATTTGAGTCACTTTGTTGTGGTGGGACATGCTGAAATCCTAGCACTTGGGATGCAGAGGCAGGTGGATAGCTCAGGACAGCCTAGGATAATCTACACAGTGAGTCCCAGCCAGCTTGGGATACATAGTGAAACCCTGTCTCAGTGTCCTCCCCCTCAAATGTTTGCGCCTATGGTGGATGTTTCTTATTCTAACCACCACATATGGCTATTGTGCTCTTGAACCTCAGAAGCTATGATTACCTGTACAAGACCCACATGATGCTGAGCTTGTCAACATCCTGTCATTGAGCAGGGAGAGGCTCATAAGTCTCCCATCCCCGTGGTTCTATTGACAATTAGTACTTGCTAGGGGACAGGATCTCATGAGGCTCCACCCCTCCCTGATCTATAGGCAATTAATGGTTGCTCTGAGAGGGAGAGATTATTCAAGAGTGATGTAACTAACCACTGCTAAGGTGTTTGTGTTCCTATAAATGTCCCCTTACCCATATTCCTGTAAGCAACCTTAATAAAACTCATCACGTTGCACACACAAAAAGACATGAAAGTAGAAGGGTAGCAAGTTGAGAAAAGAAAGGGGCTTAACAGGAGTGAGAGGGGAAGAGATGGTAGTCGGAGGTAGCATGATCAAATTACATCATAGAAATGCATAAAAGTGTCAGCATGAAACCCAGTATAATTGATGTATGCTAATAAAGAGAGAAAAATATGAGCTTCAAGGGCTGGAGAGATGGTTCAGCAGTTAAGAGCACTGACTGCTCTTACAGAGGACCCAGGTTTGATTCTAAGCACCCACATGGCGGCTACAAACCATCCTTAACTCCAATTCCAGGGGAATCCGAAGCCCTCTTGTGACCTCCACAGCGTTGCATGACATGGGTGCACTCACATGATGAGCTTCTAATTTGTAGCAAAGAATATAAAAATATAGACTTCTAAATTGTACTATGTTTTAACTGAGAGTTAGAGATTTGAAAAGAGCGACACTATTTCATAAAGTTAATAGAGACCTGACTTGAGGAAGTAGCTCAGTGATATGCTTCCTAGCATGCCTAAGGCCCTCACTTCAAAAAACAAGTTGCTGAAACTCACAACTCAAGTCTCTGCCCTCACATTTAGAGAAGTATAAATTTTGCATCTCTCTTTTGCTGGATAAATAAAGTCATATTGTAATTCTTTTTCAGAGTAAAATACATGCTCAAAATGTTAAGTTCTATTTTCAAGTGTGTGGGAATCAGAACAAAGTGCCTGGTAAGAAAGTGAACGTGCATATTGGTAGTTCTCAGGTGAGTTGGCTAAATTGAAAGATATAATTCTAAACTTTGAGTTTTAGAATCTTTCCAAAAAAGATCATTTTATTTCAGGTACACAAGAGTGGAGAAGTGGACAAAAGCACATTTAGTGATCTTTGCAACATGAGTTTTGACTCCCCAGCTGTTGCTCAGTCTTATTATGTGGGGAAGAGCCACACACGAAAACAGAAGGAGATGCTGGAAGAAGGTGTTCAGGTGTCTCCATCAAGGTGTCAGCCAAAGATGGGTAAGGTTCTCTTCGTCTGTTTATCTTAGATGCAGGATGTAACTTTTCCCCATCACTGCACCAGCCGTTTAGGGAAGCAAATTTCACTTCAGTTCAAACAACTTGGTTGGTTGTTCTTCCACTTAGTTCATCTCCTTTTGTGTCCTTGTCCATAATTCTAATTGCTAGCTCAATTTTAAGAAGTGTTACAACCACTCTTCTTCAGTTTACTAAATTCAAGTAAAGTCATATCTTTTGCTATACTGCTTAAACAACAGTAATCAGCTAAAGAAATCATAAAATCTTAGCTCTTTAAGTTTTTCCCTTGGCATTGTGTTTTGATGCACTGCTTTCCAAAACTCTCTCACATGTCTGTTCAGATCAGTATGTTCAGCATAGTGTATATACAGTGTTTTCTGACTAAAACTGTAAGAAGTAAATAAACCTAAATTATAGAATGTCCATCTATCCAAATAACCCTTAATTTCTTCTTGTAAGTATAAAGTATCACTGAATAATTATAGTATGTTGAATCCCAAAGGTACAGAGACTTCTAGAATACTGCCCTCTTCTTCCTTCTAGTAATGTTTGATTACCCCAGCACATATGAAGGCACTCACTCTGAGTTTCCTGAGCTGGCAGAGTACATTTTTGAAAACCTAACTCATATTTTGAAAAACTTGCATGCTATGACAAAATAATGATGATTAATCTGGAATAAATAATTTACCACATTCTTAATAACTTTTAACACTGTACTACTATGGTATTCCCAAAATTAAAAATTCTTCAGCTTTTATTTCCAGTTCATCAGATATTGTCAGAAGCAATACCATGATCACAACATATTATTAGAAATTTTTTCTTGATTTAAAAAAATTTACATTGTATGAGTGTATTGACTACATGTATGTAAGTGCACCATATTGTGCAATGTCTACAGAGGGGATAAGAGGGCATCAAATCCCCTGGAACTGAAGTTATGGACAGTTGTTAGCTGCCATATCGGTGCTGGGAATTGAATCTGGGTTCTCCCAGAATTTTTTTCTTAATAAGTGAAATCAGGATTACTTTAAAAATTTATTCTAGTCTCTAATTGCTGTGTGTTTGTTTTCCTGTCTGACAGCTTAAAGCAGGACAGAATCATTGTGCCTTATAAGAGAATCCATTTTGTAAATATCCTACCTAGAGTCCCCCAAATTCATTTTATTGGCCTCAATAAGAGGAACTAAAAGAGACATGAAATAACTAAAACTGTAGAAATGTGTACTTTTATGTTCTTAACTGTTTAGAGTTCATTCTGAGGCAAGCATCACAAATAAAGACAGAATAGTTATGGTACTCAAGAAAAACATCAATTTAGAACTTGATCCATCTGATTTACCCTCACAAATTTCAAAGAATCATCCTGAAATGGCTCCCATGTTTCCATTAATTCCTCAAATAAATATGGTCAAGCAATGATGGCTACAAAACATTCATTCCTTCCCATGTATTTATTGTATAAACTTGTTGACAAACTAATACTCAATTTCCATTCTCACAGGAGATCCTTTGTGACTTGAATGCCTTTATCCAGAAGCCTTGTGCTGAAAAAGTCCAAAGACTGTGGGCTTTTAGAGAACTGTAAATTTCTTTAATACTTTACCATAGATGCAGCTATAACATCTAAACACATCGATGACTTCTCATTTTAATTATTTCAGCAGATAGACCTAACACTACTTCAACAGCGCCAACCTTCCTGAAATCGGTTATTGTGAAGCCTCCTCCAGGTATATGAATAAAGACAAAACTGTTCTTTCCTCACTATAGCAGTGCTTTAGATTTGAATAATCCAAGGAAGTATTTCAAACTCTTCCCTGTTTCCTTTAATAATCCACTAATGCTCCAACAACATTATATTGTGGTGAAAAATGAAACTAGGAAGACATTTATAGATAAGTAAAAAGAAATGTCTTTCAACAAAATCAAGTACAAATTGTAAATAGGAAAACTATTCTAAACTCTTTAATAGGAAGTTTTTATTTTATAAAACATATTCATTTATTCATAACCCACTTTATTCTTATTGATTAAGGAATTGATAGTATTTATGTAACCATAGAAGTTTAGACAATAATCAATTTTCAAATCCATGTACTTTGATTTGGTTTTGTAAAACTTGAGACCCAGAAAGTCTTATAATTCTTATTAATTTCATAATCAAATATATATAATATATTCCATTGGTTTCACCTTATTTTAGGAAAAGGAAGTATTTCAAATTAGTATAATATAATGATGTTAATCATTCACTGAATATGATTTAAATGTCTTTTGGTGATAAGCTAGTCACTCTTGGTAGTATAAATAAGAATATATCATTTCCCTGGAGAAGCAAGTGTGTAAACTACTTGCATTAATAACACCACATTGAAAAATACTTATATGTTTTTGTGTTCATCTTTGCCAACAAGAGGAGTAATATATCATGGTACATAGAATTCTTTGATTTTTGAAAGTTTTTATTGAGCTTTTGTACATTTCATACAATAGTTCTTAATCAAATTTAGACCCTCTCCCCTGTCCATGCCTCCTCCTCTATACACACACCCGCCAGGCCTCATGCATGCCACCATACATGTTAAGACCTATCCGGTCAAGCATTTGTACCCAGATGTCCTTCAGTGCAAATTCATCCACTGGAGTATAGTCAGAATTCTTTGATTTTAATTGATAGAAGTTGAAAAGATAAAAGACGCGGAGCTTAGAAAGAGTGCCAAGAATTCAGGCATAATGTAGAGACTGGTCTTGACTAGAATATTACACCTGCTCTTCTACCCATGTTTATTTCATTTTCTCCCACCCCCAAGAGCAGGCACTTTTTTACTATTGGTGCATGTTATTGCCCCTTCATTTTCTTGGTTCTGCATTCTTCTTTTCCTCAACTTGTGTTTTTGAAACTGTCTCACTATGTAGCCCTGGCTGACCTGGAATTCAGTATATAGACCAGGCTGGCCTTGAACTCACATAGAGCATCACCACCACACCCAGCTCACCTTATCATTCTTTTTGGTATTTTTGAGACAGGCTCTCCCTGTAGACAAGGCTGGCCTTGAACTCACAGAGATCCATCTGCCTCTGCCTCCCAAGTGCTGGGATCAAAGGCCTGTACCACCATGCCCAGCTCACCTCATCATTTAAATTTTTTTATTTTATGTGTATATTGCTTGCATGTATGTAAGTGCAACCATATCATGCCCCGCTCACCTCATTTAAAAAAATTATTATTTTTATTTTTTATTTACATAATTTATTGAGAATTTCATACATGTATGTAAGGTGTTTTATTCAAATCCATGCCCACTCCCTCCCCTCCAACTCCTCCCATATATACCCATCACTTTTTTCTGATAACTTCATGTACTCTTTCTTCTTCTTTGATTTATTTATTTTTATGGTGCTTTCACTACTCTAACATCCCCCCCCAAGAGGTATTCCTAAAATCTTTTAAGGATCAGATACAAGCTCCCTAAATACTTTCAACATATTTGGCCTTTGGAACAAAGTATGTTGCTAAGAGGCCCAAGGACATTTTGATTTTTAGCCAAGAAACTGGCTACTTTTCTGCCTAGCCAATTCCTACTTCCTATTCTTATCACACCATCCTCTAAAGGGGTTACCCAAATCGCCAATAGAGAATAGGGACACAAACCACACTGGCTTCTTCCATGCTGAACAGGGCCGCAGGGTGAGGCCATTGGAGTACCCAGGGACACAGGGTGAGGCAATTGGAGTACCCCTTCAGTGGGTCTATCTAAAAGACTCCCAAATTGCATAACTCTTATCTGTAAGGGGAAAAGAAAGTCCTTGAATTGTGACTAGGAGATGTGAAGGAGAAGTAAAGGCAAGAGTAATTAGTATTATAAGTTCTAGACAGGGAACTAGAAAAAAGTCGGAACATGGCAATTTTTATTATTTTTATTTTATTTTATGTGTATAAGTATATGGCTTGCATGTATGTAAGTGCAACCGTGTCATGCAATGGCCATAGAGGTCCAAAGAGGGCATCAGATTCTCAGGAACTGGAGTTATAAATGGTTGTTAGCTGCCCTGTAGGTGTTGGGAACTGAACCCAGATCCTCTGCAAGAGCCAACAGTGCTCTTAACTGCGAGCCATCTCTCCAGCCTGTCACCTAATTATTTTTAATCTCTTATTAATAGACCGTTCCTCTTCATGTGAAAATATTCATTACTCTTGGCTTCTTGAAATTATTTTCTTGGTTGTACACAACTCCTCACAATCTGGCTCCTTTTTATTTCTGTTTATTTGCTTTCTGTATCAGCTCTTTGTTAACTAATTGCTTAGATTTAGGTATTCCCATGGTTCCATTATTAGCCTTACTGTACAAACATGATTCTGTATATTCCCTTGGTTTCATCCATCACCTGTATTCTCATCACCCTTTCCATCAAAATTTGACTCACGTGTCCAAATGGTAGATACTATTTCACTTGGACTTTTCAAAGCCACTTCAAATCCGTAGTATTTCAAAGTAGAAACCTACAGTTAACGTTGAACTCCCCAATACTACCATCTTCAGATCCTATAGTTAATGAAACACCAAGTTCTGATTTTTTACCTTCTGAACTATTACTGTCCCCTTAACTGCATCCCTTCCCTTCCTACACTAGTATGGATCGTCACATCTTCCTAGAGCTTTATTACACAGATTGTGAGGTGTGGACCAGCATTATTGATATCATCTTAGTGCTTATTAGATAAAAGAATCTCAGGCCTGCTACAGTCCTACTTAGTGTTTATGTTTTTAACAAGACCCATAAGTGATTTATACTTAAGAAATTTTCAGAAGCAGAGCTACAACCTTTTAATTACTTAACCTCCTGTTGGTTTCATCTCCCACAATCCACTTTCAGTTTAACTACTGAAATATTTGATTTAAAATATAAATATTTCCATGACACTCTACAGCTTGAAAATCTTTGTTTTTCCATCTTCTAAGGATAAAATCAAAACTCCACAACTCTCCATCTTCTTGTTCTTTCCTCCTTTCTACACACTTGTCCTTTGTCACTTCCTGCCATTATCGATAGTCAGTACCTGCAAGCTGTATAGTTTATTTCTTCTCCTTATGACTTTGTTCATAGCCACCCCTTATCCTTCATTGAAATATTTCCATAACCTGCTTGTGATTAACTCATACACATTTATAAACATGCTGCTGCCCCTGGAAGCCTTTTCACTTCCTTCAGGGCTAATCTTCTGAGTCTTTAACCTTTGTATCTACTTACCTCTTCATGTATTATTTCTTTCCTATTTCAGTTTAAGGTCTTCAGGGGAGAAAACTTCATGTAATTCATCTATATTTCTAGTGCTAGAAATAAAATTGACATAGACTGAGTCCTACCTCAATAGAGATTAGTTTAATATATGAATCATTAAGCTATTAACGAATATTTATTTCAAGTGCTTACCCTCTGTGCCATTTTAGTTTCCTGAATAGTGTGATTCAATAGGTTATAATATTCCAAAGGATATCTAGCTTCATGTAGGATTTTAAAGAATGTTGATTTAAGCAACTATAGAAATAGAAGTGATAGTTGCTTCTAAAGGTAGGAGATATTTGAAGATACGAAAACTTGCCACATGTTAGGGTGTTTTTCCTGTTGCAGAGCTGAGGGTATCTGAAATGTCGTTTTGTGACATTGAGTAAATGAACTGAGTCTAAATGCTAAGCACTTGCATTCTTGTTGCTGCTATAGGAGAGATCGTTTTAGCCCTTTAAAGTTTCAAGGTTACTAGACTAAAGGAAGAATTTTTTATAAAGTTCTTTTCTGACCCTGAAATAGAGGAATGATCATCAGTATAATTTAAAGTACTTAATAAAAGCATTTTACAAAATACGTTTGATGCTGTAGCTAAAAGAACAGATATGCCCTGTCTTAACTCCTGCTTCACAAGCATTTCAGCTTTTTAAAACAGCTGAAGTGGCTGTTTTAGCTGGATATGGTGGTACGTAGTTGAAGCCTTAGTACTCAGAAGTCAGAGGCAGGAGGATGACTGTGAGGACAGCCTGGGCTACATAGCAAGACCATTTCTTTAAAAAAAAGTCAGCAACAAGAAAGCATAGCTGAATAAATTAAATTAGCTAATGAGAATTTCAAAGAACACTGACAACAGAATTATTGTAAGTGAACTAATGTTAAGAAAATGAAACTTAACATGTGCCACTTTATCTCATGATTGATTCAGTGTCTCCTTTCTCTCTCTTCCTTTCTCTTCATCTGCAATTGCTTACACATGTTTCTCCCATATTTGATCTTTCCTTCATCATCACTGCCTGTTTATGCCCCTATTCCAATTCAGATCTTACTAGCACAGGAATGGCAATGATGACAGTACAGGATTAAAGTATGTATTTTTATGTGTCATATTTGATTTGTTATCTTACTAATTCTAGCCCCATTATTGGACTTAGATGTCTTACCTTCACTTGTAATTCATCATATCTAAAATTAATAATATTCTCTAAATCCAATGTAAGTTTCCCAAAATCTTTTTTTTGCTAGTATTATTGCTATTTATTAGGTACCTACCCAAATCTTTGACAATATTTTTAACTACTTTAATTCCCTATATGCTTTCTATCAACGTTTTATCAAGTCTTAGAACTATTTCTCTTTTTAGTACTTTGTTATTTTTATTTTGTGTGTAGGAGTAAAACTGCCTGCTTGTATGTAAGTATACCCATGTTGTGCAGTGCCCATGGAG